TATATATATATAATTTGTATCTACATAATTTTTGATTTTCAATGTAGGCACTCAGAGATCAAGTTGTACATTTGTATCAAGCTCGATTGGGTAATTTAAATCAGGAACCTGAAAACGATAGCGATGACGTAGAAAATAGAGGTAAGTTTTTTTTACATTACATTCCGTATTAATTTTATTTACCTACGTATAACTTAAAGTAACGAATACAACAGTTTTATGAGGTATATAGATTTTAATACTGCGCAGAATAAAATATGGTCAAGCCAAATAATTTAGAATATAATTTTGTGTAGATCGACAAATAACTGTGACTTTCAATGGTTGGGAAAATCAAAGATATCGCATTCAAGCTTGGGACTTTTCTTCAATCCCAGAAATACATGACCGTGAGTTGTACAATTGTTTCAACGCGCCTTTTTCATTAAAATAGAGGATAAAATTATTTTCGTATTTGTTTCCAGCAAGAAAAAATGTGATAGTGCGTGACTGTAAGATATTTAATGACGCCAGTATTGCCATTTCTTCTGATGGTACATTATTATCAACTGTACTACCGTCAAGTCGTTCGAATCAACTGACAACAATAGGTGAGCTATCCAATAACACGCTGCATGTTACAAAAAAACCGAAACATGGAAACATTCTGATCTTGAAAATGGTGTTATTGTTACACCGTATATTAAAAATTGTTGAATCTTTATAAACAAAGTGGTTAATTGTCGTAATTTTTTTTGCAGGTGTATATAGTTTAGAATGGGAAACGTTAGGCGAAAAGGTATACTCGACCCAAACTGATCAGTCGGTTATTTCGGTATCAATGTCCCCCACGAAGCAGTATCTCCTAGTCGGACTAGCTGCTGGACGTATTCACGTGCCCACGAGACCTACTCCAATAGCCTTGATTTATAAACTAGTCGAACCTGAGGAGGCGTTACTCGGCACGGCGGCGGAACAAACGGAGGGCACGCAAAGCGACGATCCTAGGCGTGATTTTGAATACCTTTGCTACTTAAACAACTACTTTAATGATTTGCGCCGTATTTCATACAGAACTAGTAGAAACCGAACTCAGCCGGCCAATAATGAGGCCGTCAACAACGCTGTCCCGGAATGGAGGAGTCGTATCAGCAGCGCGGCGATGAGAAGCAATGATAGCAGTGCCGAGTCCTTCAAGCAAAATCGCAAAAGTATGGTGCTGCTGCGCGAGCTGTTCGCCAGTCAGAACCGTGAGGTACCAAATTATTTCAGTCTCAATTGTATCAGGTGGATGCCTCAAGCTGGCCAAGGTATGGTCTATGCTACCAAGACGGGCTTGTTGACGATATTGTATTAATGCACAGGGATAGTTTTCGGTGTATGGCTTTAATTGCTTGTTTCGGGTCAAATGTGCCCTGCAACTTGTCCATAAAAAGCGTAATGCTTTTTGTTACGTGTGATCTAAAAAAACTACGAGTTTGTTGTAGTTTTTTAAGCATATTTGAAAAGAGGAATTTGAGATTTTACGAAAGCTGAGCTGTTAACAGTGGTGATGATTATTCAAGTAAAATGTGTAAAAAAAAAATAAATCAAAGCATCAATTAGGGAGGGCCCCTGTTAGTTTTGTTTGAACAGACATAGAGAGTCAGTCATTTCTCTTCATCCGAGCGTTTATCACATCAAAAGAAGTCTATTGATTCACGTATTGTTCATTCAAATCGTGTAACAAAAGATAAATGTTTCAAATGGTCGAATTTTGATGGAAATAACTATTTCACTCTTTATAGAATAGACGATTTAGCGTTAAAAAAATATTCGATGGAAATTTTAATATTTTGTCACACTTTATTCAGTCCCACTCAATTATTGCACGAATTACCAGTTCAAAGATCGACGCAATATAGCGCGAAATTCACTTTGGGACTGTGCCTTATTAAAGGTTTCTTTATTTTTTGTTCTTTTGTTATGCTGATACGAAAAAATCTTTATTTTAAACGACAAATAAATCATTGAAAAAAAACACGATTGTATAAAATGTCAATCGATTTTATCATTAAAATGATCGATGGGTAGTGCGCATTTAAGAAAAGGTATTTTAAATGCGTTGTATTAGTTGTTAAGATTTTATAACTTTATTAATTAAGTCGTATCATTTTGATAACGTTGCGCTATTTTTATAATCAGACTGAATTCAAATTGCGATCTGAGTATTTTTTGATTATACATATTGCAATATACTTTTGTGATAGTAATTAGGAACTTAGATAAAATGCATGGATCTGCAATGCATATTATTCCAAAGTTGGTTTTTTTTTTTTCTTATTATTTTTTATAATATGCACATCATTGTTGAGGACTGCAGTCTATTGCTACGAATTTATTTTATTTCGTGCCATTTTATTCTATTTTTATGCTTGCTCAACAAGGTTTATTTTATTTTTCTTGAAATTAATAAAAATTTCCACATAAAATACAAAAAATATATAAATATAATACCTATTAGCCTGCAAAATCATAAAAAGAAAAATATTTAAAAAACCGTCGTACTGTGTACTGTTAAATGTCTTACATATTGAGGTATCTCAAAAAGTGTTGAATAATGTAAGTGTATTTTTTGTAGAAAAAGGAACGGTCACGTGTTTTTATCTTAAGAATAAGACCAAAGTTTCTGAAATATTCCTCTGTAAATATATATTATAATGGAGTTCCTAATTCATCAACAAATTTCTAATTATTCGCAGAGTATAAAGTCAAATATGTGAAATAAATAAAGTAATAACAACGAGATACTTATTCATATACGTTAAAACACTGACCGTTCCGTGACTGTAAGACCAAATCAATTTTACTTGCTTTTTTTTTTACAAGTATTTTAAAATGCCAATAGGTTGGTAATACAAAATGTATTTTTATCATTGCTATTATTTATACAAAATAAAACTATCCAGTCGACATACATTGTCAAAAAGTTTTTCAAGTTTCTTACTGTTTTTCTTAACAGGTTGAAACTTTTTTTGTGTTAATGAAATATTTTTACTGCTCTTGATTTTTTGCTTTTTATATAAATATTAAAATAAATTAGTAACAAAAAATAAAATGTTTTTTTTAATTCCATTATGCTATTATATATCATGCAAAGCTAATCACAGGTATCGTAAATACATGATGAATCACTCACGTATGTCATATTTAAAAATGGTTATTTCTCTTCACTTTTATTAAACACTCGCTAAATAAATAGACAACAATTGTGGTTAGATATAGTGGATCTAGATATAATACGTTTTTTAAATTCAAGTACGAAAGTTACAAGTATGCATATGTATTCAATATACGAGTTCATTTAATGAACATTCAACACCAAAAAAACTAATGTTAAATTTTTTAATCACCATAGAGCAAGCTGTGTAGCAGTTCCGGAGTTTCTGGCTGTTTTAAACAAAACGAGATTTTTTCCTGGGTCGAAGTGGTATATTTCTGCTGCTCTAGCATCCTCTCGATCTCGTCGTCGATGTAAAGTTGATTGTCGTAAGATTTGTTGAGATACGAAGAACTCGAAGTGGCCGTTGAATTAATGGTCTCGTTGATGGTGTCCTGAATCTCGGTCTCGGTAAGGAAGATTGGCTGGAAGGTGCTCATCGCATTGGCTACACTGCAATCTGTCGTCTGATCGATCGTATGTTGCTGCTGCAGTGGTTCTTGAGTATCGGGAATAATGGGACATGGAATTTGGTGGTATTTGATCTGGTGCAGTTTTAGATTGCCGGTCTGCGAAAATGAGCGATCGCAATAATTGCATCTGAACGGCTTTTCGCCGGTATGGCATCTCATGTGCCTTTGTAACTTGTATCTCGTGGCAAACTGTTTTCCACACTCCATGCACTGTAGTGAATGATCCTGCATGCTTATCAAATCGTTGCCAATGACGGCTTGATTGTTACCAGAATGATAATTCATTACGTGGGACTTCAGAGAAACTTTGTAGCGAAACGATTGATGGCAGTTGGCACATTGAAACGATTTTTTTCCCTCGTGAATTTGTTTGTGCTTTGTCATAACTTCGTGCTGATTGAAGGACATGTTGCAAACCTATGGAACGAATTTTGTCTTAGTGTTGTTCGTGGGCACTGGTATGACAGCCTTTAAACGGAATTTGACAATAGAATAATCAAGTTGATGAAGAAAGGATACTGCACTTACATCACAAATGTAAGGCCTTTGTCCTGTGTGAATAAGTTTGTGCCTATTCAAGTGGGCTAGACACCTGAAACTTTTTCCGCAAATGTGACACATTTGCTTTCTTTTTTTCAACATATCTATTTGTTGTTGATCAGGTTTTTCGGTTAAGCTTGTATCTTTCAAGTGACACAGCATGTCCTGTAAAAGTTTGTAATCATTTTTAATGGATTATTTCAAAATCTGATATAAAGTGCACGATTTTTTCATCATATGGATTCATACGATGAGATTGCGAGTTTTCACGCAACAGATTTGAATAAACATTTTTGTAAAAAAGCAACGACAAAAAATATTTCCTGGATTCAGAGATACAGCTTATACAGTTGAATATATTCATTACATCGACTTTAGTCACAGTGAAACTGACACGTAAATTAAAATTTAATTCTATAAATAAGTTATTACCGTTAAAGGTTTTATAGTAAACATAATTTTTTTCTTGGTGAAATCAAGAAGTAAACTTTAAAATTTAAGTTATGAAGATTGTTAACAATAAGCTTTACCTCAGCAAAGTTAATATCTAGGGTTGGTGCAGCAAGTTGCTTTTGTACATTAGCCACCATCAAACAAAATTCATCAAAAACACAGATTTTTTGCTCACAATCGTTGCAAACATACTTGGAAAAAGCATCTGCAATGGAAATGTTTATTATCTGAAACAAGGTAAAAATATAATTTTGACAACTGATGAAATATTGATTTGTTGTTAAAATATTTTTTGTTGTGTTTTTATTAAGTAAACTCACATCTTTTGCAAAATATTTGTTAATTATTGATATAATCACTGAACCCTTTATTTTGTCCTCAAAGAGATCAGTACCCAATTGTTTTTCTTTTCCACATAATCGACACACTCTGAGAGCGTTGACTTTGTGAAGCATCATTGTGATGAAAGTGAAATAAATATTTATTAGCACTAAAATATACAGTACTTATATAGCGTTAGTTTGCAAAAGGGTCTTATATTTCTCTGCCCCGGCACTCGATAGTCAGTTTCGACCTGCAGGTTTCGATGGCTGCAGATTTGCAGGCTGTTGCAGGTATGTATGCACATACACCGATGCGTAGTAGATGACAGCACGGCGTTAGTGTTAGTGGTGGAGAGTGGAACCGTGGAACAAAAAAAATTGAGAAATAGCGCTCTTTCAGGCTGTGGCCACATGTATAGCTATAGGGTGTCTTCCGCAATCGTTACCAGCAATAAGTAATTTTGGATTGTGCTCTACGTTATCGTTAGGTCGGTAAGTCAACTACCTTGAATTTACTGGCGCTCTCTGTTCCGTAATCTGGCCAGTAAAAACAGCAGACGACAATAAACAGCAACAAATATAATGATATTATATTATTATATCATTATATTTGTTGCGTGATCGGGCTTCGTCGGTGGCCTTTGCTCAGCTTGTATGTATTTCAATCAACGCCATCTAGCGTGCGATTTTTCTTATCCGCTTATCGCAGTTATCGCTCCGAGACCCTACTGACGTTTTTTTGTTTCAGGTGACGAAGAAAAGCACAACTCAAACTCTTCACTGAGGCTGTTCGTTTGGCTTTTAATTTTAACATNTTCTCTCTCTCTCTCTCTCTCTCTTACTCTTGCATTGGCACGTTTCTCCATTTTGATATAAGTGACAGGTACCTACACACAGACCACGTACACAACGGCGTTAATGTATTTCAATCAACGCCATCTAGCGTGCGATTTTTCTTATCCGCTTATCGCAGTTATCGCTCCGAGACCCTACTGACGTTTTTTTGTTTCAGGTGACGAAGAAAAGCACAACTCAAACTCTTCACTGAGGCTGTTCGTTTGGCTTTTAATTTTAACATCAAGTCAAGTCACACGCAACAATTGTACAATATTTTTGTGCGTTTATTAACTTTTATAAAACGAAATTTTATGCTTTTAATCGTTGAAATCAATCATGAAATATTATAGGTGTTGGGACAGGGACACTGTGAACAGAGGGATGAAAGTAAAACAATGAAGAATAATATACTTTACATCATATAAGGTATGTTATTTATTATATCTTATGTACATTCAACATCGTCATGACAACACCATAGGAAAAATGTTTAGATTCATCCCAAAAATTTGTCGACAGATTCTATTTTGCGCTCTGTTATTTTACTATGTATTTTTATTCGTTCGTATTCATTTTAATCTTTTTTTTTTTTTTCTTTGTCCTTTATACAAAAAATTGTAGACGCACGGAGGTGTTGTGTTGTACTCCTCGTAATATTTTTTCACGTGTACGTGTGTTTGATTTCTGATTTGAGTGTATGTATATTGGGTGATAATATTTAACGTATAATAAATAGAGATATTGAACAAAGAATAATCATAACTCTGTCCAGGTGAGGGTATAAAAATGTCATTTATCATGCGTGAAAGCGTACGTGGGACGGTACCTGTTTTGCTTGATGGTTTATTGCAGGTACTTTAGCAAAGATTTCTTGCTCAATTTTTTTTTCTTTTTCACTTGTTTATTTCTTGTTTTCAAGTTAAATAAATAATTATTGAATCAAAATTAAAGCAACGCAAACTTGCGACGCTCGTAAGTAACTCTTAACTATCATAAATCTATGAATTGCTTATCGATTCGACGTTTACGTTTCATTATTTTTTCTATTATTTCTCATTGCTGTTTCTTTAATTTTATTAATTGTTTGCACTTGTGTAAATTAATGCATTTTTTTTTTTTTTAGACAACTTGAAACTCTCGAATGAATTAAAAAAATAATTTCTTTCACGCTAACAAATAGAAAAAATTTCGTACTCAACAATGGCTTATTCAATTTGACCAAATCGTTAAACAATAAATGACTTTTTTCGTTTATCGTTGTTATTTGTTTTTTATTTTTTAATGAGTAGTAATTACAGAAGCAACACCAATAGTTGTAGAAAAACAAGTGAAAGGAACGAGGGGGCATTAAACGACACCACGTCGATTTCCCAGACAAGGACAATCACGCGGCTCCATACATGAAATTTTGATTATTTTTTCTTCGCTTTCTACATTCATCTATTGTTTTTATCTCTATTAAACTTTTAACTCGATTGATATTTCACTTTCCGCTCTTCATTCTTACTTGTAAACGAGGTAACCAAAATACGTGTATGTTTGTCTGATTTATTAATTTTTTCATTTTTATTTTTCGCGCAACTGCGAGTGCGACGGCGAGTTTCGAATGATTTTTTCGTTTAGTTGGACTTAATCTACGTACAGAGGGAAAAAAAGAGGAAGACCTGGGATTTTTCAATATACTTAACGGATAATTTGATTCTTCATTTCGAAAGTACTGATCGCACTCGCACGCTTGTCTTTTTAAACACAAGACAGTCACGGCACAAAAATATCTGAAAAAAATCCTTTCCCGGCGTTCCACTCGAAAGCTCCAACACACACGAATCACAATTAAATAAATATGATATTTATGTTTGCTCAATTGCGTGCACGGATCCACTTTTATCATAACCACTCCTCGTAAATTGTTAATCATTCAAGTACAAATGTGTGTGCCCATGATTTCGATTAGAACTCCGTGCGCCAGTTTTGGCGGTGTAATTTTTTGTTTTTTCCTATTACTTTTATGTATTTATTATTATTTTTTTTTTTTTTTTTTTTG